AACACCTGTCCTGTCCACCAACCAGCGTTCCAAGCAAGAGGGTGTTCAGCATTGCTGGGGATGTTGTGACACCCCACTGCACCTGCTTGGATCCTGGTTTGGTGGAGCAGCTGGTGTTCTTGAAAGTGAACCTCCGACTGCTGGGGTTCCCCAAGCTTCATCTGCAGATGGACTGAGTGCCACCCTCCTTACTCCATCTGCACCCATTTCCTTTTTTCATTTTTTTAAAAACCAGTTAATGCCCTGCTCTCAGCTGTACGGGGCACTCACTGCAACACCAGCCATCTGGGGAAGAATATGTCCCTGCTGAGCTCGTTCCCCTGCCAGGACAAACTTGGAGGTATGGGCTGGGGCTATGGGGAAGAAGAAGACCCCAGGTCCTGGGCATAACCACTAAAACTGCACCCTGCCATGGTAGGGAGGCCTGGTGAGACTGCTGTGGCATGGCAGCCCTGAAAATGCCAGGAACAACAATCCCCTGGTGAAAGGTGGGTAGGAGGCGCCATAACCTCCAGCTAACGCACGCACAGTCCTGGCTGGGGAAAGCCCAGATCTGTCACATCTTTGACAGGCCTGACGCTTTCTGGCTGCAACAGAGTTGAGGCTCCATGTGAGCTCAGCTTAGCTCCCTGGGATGCCAGCTTTTGCACTGAAAACCCCTTTGTCAGACTGAGGAAGCACCTGCAGTTGGTGTGTCTCCTGTTCTTGGATGGAAGGAATAATAAAGAAGCCAGAGGCTGACCTGGCACGCAATACAGGCAAGAAAGTCAGTCAGTGAAAATGGAAATGGAGGCATCAGGGGGTGCGGTCTTTTTCCTCAGTTGTAAGAGTTAGTTCAAAGCCAGCTATTCTATATGTAAAGTTGGGATTATTTTCCTCTATGTTTGTTACCTTGCGCTTGTCAACACTGATGTTTTTCTGTCTTTTTTTTTTTTTTGGCCACTCATTTATCTTGTTGAGATTTTTCTGCAGCTCCTTTCCATTAGCTTGGGATTAGACTACCTGGAATAATTTGGTATGAAATGCAAACTTGGAGACTGATCTGGAAATGGGAGTGCAAAGTGAAGTGTTGAAAATTTTGAACAAAATTTGGGCGTAGTACAGACCCCTGTAGGATCCCTTTTGTGACTTCCTTCCATGCTGAAAAGTGACCCTAAACCATAATGGATGCCAAGGATGTTAATGAATAGGGGAATAGATCATTCTAGCTATACCGAGTTAAATGCAGCCCCACTAAAGCATCCACTGCTGCCACTGTAGGAGACAGGGTACTAGGTTAAATGACCAATTAGTCTGACACATTTTGGCACATCTTATTTTTTTTATGTCAGTATGTTCTTCAATAAAAAAAAAAAATCTAGTGTTGGCAATCTGGTCTGGGACCTGGGACATTTTTTCTTTTTTTAAAAAAAACAAAATAACACTAAACCAGAGCCTACAACTAACATTGAGTTACAAATGAGAATGGAACAATTTGCAAAGCAAGTTGAACTTTTTTAAAGGGTAGGAAAGGAAATATGGGGAGCTAGGAACCAAAAATATTTTTTGCTCAAGCATCAAATACTCTAATAGTTGAGAGAGCACTTGCACAGTCCTATTCACTCTTTCCTTAATTAATACCAAGTAACACATCTCAAAAAAGCCTCTCTCAGTAAGCTTCTATAGGTCCCCTTGTTAAAGTTCTGTCACCAAAATGAGGGGAAGATTGGACTCTGTTCTGAACTTTAGACAGAAACTGTGTGGATATTGCAAAATTATCCTTGATACAAATTATCTAACCTAAAGCAGCACATGGAACCACATTTAACAGCATCAGGCTGATAGCAGAGAAAAATTCAGATGGTCACAGTCCATGCATTAACAGCACAATTACAGACTGCTTGTTAGGTAACTTGAGACCCTGTATTTGATAGGACATTACTAGAAAATAACCACATCCCAAAATATAGTGTTATGTGGGGTGGATTTGAAAAGCAACCTAGATACTTAAGAAATATTTGTTCATCAGTAAAAAAAAAAAAAATAGAGCAAGCCTCGTTTTTTCCATACACACATGTGCAATTGCATTACTACTTTGGTTAAACACATAGTAAACTTCATATAATCAGAGTATCATAGGAAAACAGGCCTGGAAGGGACCCTCAGGAGGTCATCTGGTCCAGCTGCCTGCTCAAGACAGAATCCCAAGCTAAAAGCCATCCTAGACAACTGTTCATCTAACCTCTTCTTAATGCTTCACAAACAACCTTCTTGCACAGCTGCCAGGCACATTGCCTGAAAACATCAAAAACACTCTAACCTGCCATCAGTATGGCAGGGGGGTGAGGACATGTAGCCAGCCTATAGGTTTTGTACAAGTGGAATGTTCTTGAGAATAACCCAAGTAAAAGCTATTACTCTAAAGGTTGTCTAGTTGACTGCCCGTGGGCTGCATGTGGCCTGCAATGGGTTAACATGCAGTCCACAGGATCCTATGCAGATGCCATGCCCCCCATCACTCTGGCTGCAACAGCAGCTGGAGTCTCCCGGCTCTTCCTCTCTACTCTAGCTTTCACTTCATGACTCATCCCTTGGGAGTCAGGCCACTGCGATACAGTGCAGCCTGCAGTCCTGGGAAGCCAGCTTGGAACACCCATGTAATACTGTGCAACCGGGGTGCCTGTGGCTCTGGAACTGAAGGTGAGGTGGAGTGCACACTCATGGTGCAGCAAGTGGAGAGGCACCTGCACATGCCAGTGACCCCTGCTGGTACAGCTTGCAGCTGCTTAGAAGTTGGACAGTCCTACTCTAAATGAATGAGTCTTGACTGACACCACTTCAAGAATGAAGTGAGAAATGTGTAGACAACTGCTCTCATTTCTTTCAGATCCAACTCTGCTAAACTGCAGGGGATTCAGAGGCTTCTTATTAGTACAGTCAGCCTATGCTCTCAACAAAGAAGAATCGCAGCTTGCTTTGTATCTTTAATGAAGTCCATAGCTTTAAAAAGTATACAACTAGTGTATGATCTGTCAAGATATCAAGTGTTTGATCATACAATAAAGCTCTTAATAAAAATCTTTATTATTGAATGCATTTTAGAAGTTCAATGTTTTTGTTCATTGGCACTAATTCCTCAAGTGCTCCAATCTAATTAATTAAAACAAATTCTTAGAGATGCACAAAAGGCCTCTTATACAAGTACTTACAGCAGCATAAGTTGTTCTCTTGATTTTTCAGTGCATCTTCATTTACCACATCACTTTTATTATTTGGTATAGTACTTTCAAAACTAGAAAAAAAAAGAAATAAAATCAACACACTGACTGATTACAACTTATAGTAATAAATAAAATGCCATTTCACTTTGTGTGATCTTTCTTCCAGGCTAAATCTTATCTAATCCAACAAAAGATATGTGAGAAAGGGAGCCTGCCCCTGTATTTCCAAGCTTTTGCAATCCCAGTAGCTGATCCAGCCTAGTTAATGATCTACCTCTTCCAGGACTCAGCCCTTGAAACATGCCACCTCACATTTAGGGGTGCATACTGACATTTGGGAAGAAGGACAGGGGGAGATTAGACTGATCTAAGGTCACCTGATCTAAGGCAAGTCAGGATGTGGGGAGTGGTTAGTGGGAGGGGGCAAGGAGGTCAGGGAGAGCAGGGTCCATGGGGGAGTTGGTGGGATGGCGTGGTCCAGGATACTCATAGGGTGTGGGCCTCTCTCCCCCTCACCCCCTGAGACCAGGGATTATTTTTAGTCCCCTGATCCCCCACACCCCAAAATGAACCCCCCCCATCGCACCTGCCCCTTCTTACTTGCTTGGCCTCTAGCACTGGTGACCACTGGAAAACCAGCACTGGGAGTTGCTGGGGGGGGGGGAGGTCCTCCATCGGGGGGGCGGAGGGCCAGGGACTAAAAATAACCTGATGCCAGGGAGGTGGTAGGAAAAGTGTAGCCCTAGGGCTGGGGCTAGTGGCTAGGTTTTCCCAGCCTTGGAGCTGCACAGGAAACTGTACAGAAGTTCAGGCCAGTTAGATCAGTCTAAAATAGGTATCCCACTCTGAGTTAAGTGTACCTCAGAGATAAGGTTATCTTAGATCAGGTCAGTCATTTTTAGACCGATCTAAACATCCTGAACGTCTGCAGAGTTCATAATTAGAGTGACTTGACTAGTGTAAGGTCCACACCTGAGCAAACTAAGTTAGATTGGCTGGCCATTTTTAATGTAATCTACCCTCCCCCAACCTCCCCAGGGTACATATTTCCAGGGTACTAACTGCCCATGAGATTCCAAAACACAGTCTCAATACGTATCCTGCCCAATGCCATAGCTGGGCCCCTCTCCAATTCCTCTCTTTCATCAGACCACAGAGACCAAGGGAGTCCACAGACTCCCTCACTAGCAAACTTACTCTAGAGAACTCTAAAACCACCTCAACTTAAACTTCTTTCTTATGCACCAAGGCCTGAATTCCCAGTCCAACCTGGATGTACTTGCAGGTTCTTTGTTCTCCCAGAAAAGAACTGACCTGCAAAGCTAACCCCCTGGGCCAGGCCCTAATTTCTTAGAGCCCCTCCCTAAAATTAGCTCTCTTCCTAACAGAAGTTTCTCAGAAATAAGCTGCTTTCAAGCCCAGGGATTTTCTTTCGCTGAAGAGAATCTATCTCCTCTGTAGGAATTCTTGCTGACTGAATTATTATTTGTTTCCAGGTACAGTCATAAAGACTTATTGATAACTCTGGATCTTACCTCTGCCAGCAAGGCGTTTATATGCCCCAACACAGTACCATAATTCAATATTAAAATTCACATTTTGAAACTAAAAAAGCAAGATATTTAGTTTCTACATCAACCTTAATTCTAAGCCTTACAGCATGACAGATTGTTTGTGTTGTACATACTTGTAAATAAAATATTTCACAAATTTTGGATTAACATATTATAAACTCAACTGTAAGGCGATGGATCACACACGGGACAAACAGGAACACTTACTAGTTACAGTATTAGCCTGAGTTGGGTTCAATTTTTGGTTTTACCCAAGATTTACTGTGTGATCTTAAGCTACCCATTTAGGCTATGAGCACAAAGAACATTTACACTAGTGGAAATGTGTAATGGACACATGAAATAAAAGTCCTATATTAGTGCAAGTTAATTCCCGTGTAGGGTAAATTTACCCTTTGGAAAGTCAGAATTAACTCCATACCAAGTAAATTGCACCAGTGTGTGGACTGACTGTGTGTACCTCTAGTCAGTGTCATCCTCAAGTAGCAGTTTGTTCAAAACAAAAAGGTAACTACGAGCTCTTTTGCTACCCAGTGGCAAAGTACTGTGGGTAAATACCTCCTGAGAGCTGGCTGTCTTTCCACTTCAGCCACTAGAATCAAGAGTAGTATACAAACTGCTGTAAGTTAATACCCATGCAAACATGTGGTGTCCACAGCTTTAGCTTCCAGAACTCACAGGACAATTGGCAGGAAGTCACATTAGAGAATGGGATGCCCTCTGATATTTCAGTAATCAGAGTTATATAAGTACCATTATATAGACAGGTGGAACATTTTGTGAAAAGTTCTCTTCCACTTATCTGCAAAAGATGTCCCACAGCAAGGATGGGCAAACCACAGCTCACATGCCACAGGTAGCATGAGTAACTTCTGCATGTGGCAAGCTGCATACTGGGGACAGAGGAGGGAATACAGTGGAAGATCAGGCAGGGAGCAGAAAGAAAAGGAGCATAAAGGGCAGGAGAAGGGGACTGGAGTAACTCTCAGGGTGGGTACAGTGCATACTTGATGGCATGCCTGCCAAAAATGTTGACCCCTCTGTCCCACAGTAACCTGAATTACATGATTTGATATTATGACCTTGTCCTTCTCTGTTCAAATGGACTTGTCATTTGTGTCTGAAACAGTCTTCATTATTCTTCATTATTCACATGAAGTTATATGGCCATGAAACATGTTTTCTGATAATTTTATGTTTGATACAGAAGGAAGAAAATGTAAAACTCCCTTAAAACATTTTACATTGCAGTGATTTTATATCTACTGAAGAATTTCAAAATATTATTAATGGAGCTCAGGGTACAACTCCTGCCTAAACACACTGTACCCTGATTTTCATGATCTTAATTGTTCGCACTTAAATTTAAAATGGCACTAATAGATTATTCCACATTATATAGCATATGCATATTTTCATTGTTTTTAATTATTATTGGTAAGGATTATGGCTGTGATGGATGTAATCTAAGATGTGTAAGTTTTCCAAGATCATTTACTGTGATTTAACCAATTCCAACCAAATAATCTCAAATTATATGCATTATTAATTTAGGCAAAGGCATTTTATTTATAAAGGATTTAACTTTATAGGATCAATAAAATGCAGAAGCAGGTAATAATACTTCAGTCAATATATATAACTGTCTCTTCTGTATATTTCCAAAAAGGTTTCAAAGATATTAGCTCTGTGACTGAACATACTCCTTCAACTCAATAAGGAGAACTAAAACTTTAGCATTAAAAGGTTCCCTATATCACAGTCATCTGGAATAGACTTTGTAATAGTCAGCTGAACTTCAAATGAGGCTTAGGGTTTGAGATATGTCTACACAAATCCCTGTTGCTCTCAGGGAGGGCTGCTAATGAGCAAATACCCTTTCCCTCCTATTACTGCTTGTGTTTTCCCCAAGAGCACTGGGGCATTGTACAGATATACCTTTAGTTGCTTCCTGCTTCACAAACTGCAATACCCTCAACATTTTAACTATATTCTAATCCAAGTTCATATTTGTATCAATTTTTGTCATCTAAAATTGAGTATTGAAAATCAATAGTTGAATGGCTTATAGTTTGCCATTCTCTCATGGGCTTTGCTAATCTGTGTTGAACAAAAAATCTCTCTATTCACATTAAGTATGCTTAATAACTATGTCTGAAGAAGAAAAATAAGTATCTAACAACCAGCTGTAGTTCTTTTAGTAGACTATCAAAATAAATTCACCATTGTTTGGTGTTCACATGACCTCTGCACCACTCAGAACCCCTTGGGCTAGGGACAGACATTCAAAAAGCTAGAGCCTGAATTGATTCAACCTTTGCAGGTTAGTCTAACCTGAGTAGGCTAAACTGGTTTGTAACAGGACAAACATCTGCTCTGGACTAAAACAATGCAGGCACATGACTGCAGTTGCTCAGGCCAGGTGCCAGACCGTGCTAGAACAGACGCTCGGCTGCAGGGAAGCTGTACAGGGAGGCATGGCCAGTCTCAGCTGAATTGGCCAGGGGGGGTTTAATTCCCCCTCTCTATTCCACCAGCAGGGACCCAAGCCAGGTCTGCCGGGCACTCCCCACTCGCTACTACAGCAATGGGCACCATGGCCCTGGGGCAGAGCAGGGCAGGAGGAAGAGTTGTTCTCTGCTCTACCAAGCCAGGTCTGCCACCCTCACTGCTGCACTCCCTTCCCCCACGCAGGGGCCCTGCCTGGCCATGTCCCCAGCCCACCACTACAGTGGGAGGGGGCAGGGCCCATACTGGGGACAGCAGCCCATCATAATGTGGGGGAGCGAGCCCCTTTCCAGTGGGGCACTGCACTGCAGGGCCAACAGAGCTGCGCCAGCACTGGGGTCCAGAGTGGGCCGGAGCCCAGCAAGCCCAGAGCAACATTGCCATGCTCTCCAGCAGCTCCACTGGCCCTGCAGAGTGGCCCCCACCAGGAAGAGGTTCACACTCTGGGAAGTGGTGATGGGCATCAGCCCATCACTATCACTCACTCACTCACTGCTCACTGCTCCACCTGCCAGGTGGGGGCAGGGTCCAGCCCCTGCCTCTTGGTCTGTGCTCTGGGCAAGCCCCCTCTGGGCAGGAGAAGGCTTATTCAGCCACTGACCCTGACCACAGTCCCAGTAGCAGCTGCAGCTGGGCTGGACAGACCCCTATGCAGTGCCAGTGGGAAGCAACCAAATAAGCCTCCTCCCGCCCGGAAGGGGCTTGCCCCAAGCACAGAGCAGCTGCTGGCATCACAGTGGGGTCTGGATCAAGCCACCACTCTGTGCTCCAGGCCAGCATCCAAATAAGCCTCCTCCAGCTTGGAGGGGGCTTGCCCCAAGAACAGAGTGGATGCCGGCACCACAGCAGGGTCTGCCCGGCCTGGCTGCTACCGCCACTCTGTGTTCGGGCCAGTCCCCTCCTGGCAGGAGGTGTCTCATACAGATGCTGGCCCAGAGCACAGAGTGGCAGTGCAGCCAGGCCAGGCAGACCCCGCTGCGATGCCGGTG